CTGCTCTGTTTGCCATGGCAACCAGAGATGGCCGGCGACGGAGGTCGGGGGTTCGAGAGGTGGGGGACGATGGCGGCAGACGGTGGAGGGGATGGATCGGAGACCGGGAACTGGTTGAGCGTGCGGGCAGCGGGTCGGCTTGCCCGGACGGGGCAGTGCGGGCGGTGTTGGCACGGAACGGACGTGCGGGACGCGCGTTTGTGTGCGCGGACATGGTCGTGCGGGCATGTTCCCGTCCATGCCACACGAGGTGTGCGGGCGGGTTCCCGCCGACGCCACACGTGTGGCAGTTATTCGGACCCAAAAACTAAACTCACACATGGGTTCATACATGTCCACACGGGACCATTAGCAGGGAAAGAACGGCCGATGTCTCACACGTGGCAGAGAAAAGGGCGAGGCTAAAACTGATTCTGGTCCGACGATGCACCGACTCGAAACAGGCTTGTAGGACCAGCGGCATATGGTGGCGAACAACACCGATCATGCACAAGCCGCGCACAAACACCACAGTAGACCCGACAACATTGAACAGCCAAGGTGGATCATGTACACCTTTTGTTGTTGTTGCGAGAATCCTTTATGACTAAACCAATAAAAGGTGTGCATGATCCATCAATTTGTGGTTGCAATTATTTATTTGTACCTGAAAGACGAGGTAGACACAATTGCATTTCAGTTTCATCGCGCTCTACAGCTATGTTGTCAGGTTATACCATATTTCAATGCTCTCACGATACCAACTTTGAAAAAATAATTTTTAATGTTTCAAAAAATTCTGAAATTTTTTGTGAATGTTCACAATGTATGTAACCCCTAAGAGACAAATCCAGCATTTGGATTTGTCCTTTTTGTTTCTCAATGTGCATTTCGAATTTGAAGCTGAAATATTTAGGGGATGTAGACACATTCCTTGTGAATATTCATGATTTTTTCAGAACTTTTTGAGATATTCTAAACTGATTTATTTTTTTTGAAATGGTATCATGAAAGCATTAAAGGTGTGGTATCACTGGATATTCTCCCGCGTTGTTACATATAACCTCCTTGGCTCTGGATCCTCTGTGATAAGAGATACATACACTTCTGTCTGCGCGTGATTGGCACGCCACTCTGGTCCTTTCAGGGTTGTCGGTTGAATGGTGCGTGATTGTTCTTTATAGCACAGGATACGGGCATGCTGATCTAATTGGTCTTAAACTACACCGCTGTCGTAAGCGATCAAAAAAAGAAATGGTCAATCTTACTACATACTACCTGCACACAGTGACCGGTTGTGCATTCTGTTGTTACTCAAGTTGAATGTGCGAAATGTGGAAAGCCTGACGTCAAGGCAATATATCAGCAGTATTTATTTACTTATTTGAAACGGAGACAAAAGAGCTGCCCCAACTATGCAGTAATAGAGTTTTGAGTTGAGCAGCAGTAAATGAATCAGCAATACGCAGTTGGAGAACCTTGTGCCAAGGTTGTAAAAGCATTTGGCCTTGGGAAATTCTTAGCGTGTTCAAACCATTTATTGCATGAATTGCTATTACGAACACAATTGCCCCCTCCACTGTGGCACTAGATTACCCAAAAAGGCTTTTGCCCCGCTTTATAAATAAAGCAAACCGCCAAGAGCACACATACACAGACTAGTTCGGAACACACACACACACACCCAAGTCACATAACGAGGAGTACAAAGGTTCTGCTGAGGGCACAGCTCGACAAGCCCAGAATAAACAAAAAAGGACGCGGCCAAGGCAAGGCGTCTAATCCGGCTCCGGGGGTGGCGGAGGGGGCGGCGGCGATAGACGGACGGCCATCGAGCGAAGGTCGGCGATGAAGACGGTGACGGCGTCGCGGTCTTGAGGGCGGCTAAGCGGCCGCCATAGCTGCAAGTAACCAGACAGATTGAAGAGAGCGTCAGTAGCCCGTCGAAGAGGAATACGCTGGATCACAAGCTTATTGCGAATCGTCCAAAGGGTCCACGCAAGAACCCCAATCTCAAGCCACCTAATGTGGCGAGAGGGGGAAGGGGAGTTTTGGAGTTCGGCAAAGAGGTCGGGGAAGTTGGTGTGGCACCAGTCGCCTCCCACAGTCTCCCTAAAGCAGCTCCACAAGAATTGAGCTGAGACACAGGAGAAGAAGATGTGATTCGAGTCTTCGGGGGTACCGCACAGGGGGCAAAGGCCGGACCCAGGGCCATTGCGTTTGCGGACCTCCACACCAGACGGAATCCTATCGCGGATCCATTGCCACATAAAGATCCGAATTTTCAGAGGCAAGCGGATGGACCAAACCGCCGGTTGGGGGAAGGGACGGAGGAGGGGGCAATGGCCGAGTAGAGGGACTTGGTGGAGAATTGGCCCGAAGGCTCAAGACGCCACCAAACCTTGTCCGGGCCCGCGTCCAACTCCGGTTCGTGGAGAGCGATGCAATCGAGCAGCTTCAGCCACGCGGCCGCTTCCGGAGGCCCAAATGGCCTCCGGAAGGCGAGGCGCCCTAAGTCAATAAGGGCCCTCTCAACGGAGATTAGTGGGGCGATCGACAGCAATGGAGAAGAGGTCGAGGAAGCGGGCCGCAAAGGGGGAGTCTCCCGCCCACCGGTCGAACCAGAACAGCGTCGTTGTACCCGATCCAACCGAGATGGAGGTGCCAATGCGAAGGACGGGAAGCAGTTGGACAACCGATTGCCAAAACTGGGATCCGCCGGATCTCTGACAGAAGGCGAGGGGCTGTCCGCGCAAGTACTTGTTCCGGATTATGTCAAGCCAGAGACCACCGTGGCCCTGCGAAATGCGCCAGAGCCAACGTGTGAGGAGGGAGATGTTCATGCGTTTAGAGCACATGATACCGAGGCTTCCCTGTTCACGGGGCTTGCAGATGTCCGGCCAGCTAACCATGTGATATTTCTGCTTATTGTTGTCACCCGCCCAGAAGAAGCGAGATTGGATTTTGGCGATCTCATGGTGAAGGGTCTCATGGAGGCTATAGAAGCTCATAAGAAACAGGAGGAGGCTAGTGAGGGAGGAGTTAATGAGGATCGTCCGAGCCGCCTTTGACAGCCACCGGCCTTGCCACGGCTCCATGCGAGTTTGAAGCTTGGCCACTGTGGGGCGCAAGTCCGCTACAGTGAGCCGAGAGTCACTGATGGAGGTTCCCAAGTAGGTCGTGGGAAAGGAGCCGAGGCGGCAATTAAGGCGGTTGGGGATGTCCAAGGCGTCAGCCAGAGAGTAGCCCATAACCATCACATCACTCTTGTCGAAGTTGATCTTCAGGCCAGACATTTGTTGGAAGCAGAGAAGAAGGAACTTGAGGTTAGCGATGTCCGTGTCCGAGCCCTCGACCATGATGATGGTGTCGTCGGCGTACTGGAGCATGGAAATCCCAGATCCGCCCGCCAGATGGGGGGTAATCCCATGAATGTGGCCAGCGGCTTTGGCCTTATCAAGGATGGCGGCAAGAGCGTCCACCACCATGTTGAACAGGAACGGAGAGAAAGGATCGCCTTGTCTAACCCCACAAAGGGTGGGGAAGTAAGGCCCAATTTCTCCATTGATGTTCACAGCAGTGCGACCACAGGACACCATCTGCATCACCCTGGTGACCCAACGATCATCGAAGCCCTTCCGGAGCAAAACTTCCCGAAGGAAGGACCAACTAACAGTGTCGTAGGCCTTGTGAAAATCAATTTTCAAGAAAACCGCCTTAAGGTGTTTCGACCGGACCTCATGGAGAACTTCGTGAAGAACTAGCACCCCATCCAGGATATACCGCCCTTTCACGAAGGCGGACTGGTTGGGGTGGGTAATGAGGTCCGCGAGCAGGGTCACCCTATTGGCGTACCCTTTGGCCAGAATCCGGAAGATCACATTGATCACCGTGATCGGGCGGAACTGGCGAATGTCGGAGGCCCCCGGCACTTTGGGAATGAGCGAGATGATCCCATAGTTGAGGCGACCAAGGTCGATGGTCCCAACGTAGAACTCGTCAAAAATGGCCATGATTTCCGGCTTAATCACATTCCAGAAGGTCTGGAAGAATTTCACCGAAAGGTCGTCCGGACCCGGGGCCGAGGAGGGATTCATGCCTCTAATGGCCATCCATACCTCATCCTCCGAGAATGGAGCCGTGAGGGCGGCATTCTCCGCATCTAAAACACACTGGCGGCCGGACCAGCAGTCGAGGGCCAGAGACAGGCCGCTCCTAGGAGAGGCAGAGAAAAGGGATCGGTAGAATCCGTCGACATGAGTCCTAATGTCGCACGGGGACTGCAGAAGGGACGGACCGTCCCAGAGGAGGGGGATGGTGTTGCGTCTCCGGCGACTGTTAGCTATGGCCTGAAAATAGGCAGTGTTCGCATCGCCCTTCAGGACCCATTTCTGGGAGCCTCGCAAGCGCCAGTAAGCTTCCTCGTCTATGTAGATGATGGAGAGTTGGTCTTCCAGGTCATACCGAGAGAGCCACTCGTCAGGGGAGAGGCCGACCGTGTCCGCACGGAAGTCCAGTGCCTGAATGGCGGTCAGCAGGGCCTTTTTTTGTTCGCAGGCCGACCGTGTGGCACTAGATTCATTGCTAGAAAATCAATGCGACCACAAATATAGCCTTTTGAAAATTTGAAACGCGAATTGAAAATTGGATGAGATCTTGACTGGGAAGAATGAAAAGCTCGGAACAAAAAACGTGTACAATTATGAGACTTTTTATATCCAATCAAGTCTTAAATTCCGCAAGTGAAGAATTGGGCTACTGGAATTAGAAACTTTGCCACAGCGCATAAAATCAAAACATCAGATGCTTCTATCAGAAAAGAAAAAAAATACTCGCCCTGGTAGAGACCCACAAACAAATCTCCGTTGCAATCAGTTGATGGGTTCCAAAAACATCTGGGTACAAACATTAAGACCTGGATATGTCTCATCAACAGTCCAGAGCAGCTACATCTCCAGTCACACGTGCCTATGTTCGTACCGAGAATTCTACCAAGTAGGTTCTACATCAATTCTGACCCATCAACCTTCGGGTCGAGGCATTTTATGTTCTTCATGTCTACCACCAAGCTGAGCATCATGGTGGCTCACGCTGTGCTTTGGTGCATCACTAGGGTGCTGCGGCTTGTGCTCGAAACCATCATTTCTCTTGGTTAGAGAATGCTCATCTTTAATGTCCACCAGAACTTCAGCCTCTTTTGCAGTCTCTGGAACATTCTGATCACCATTGTTGTCACCATTTTCTGCAACGCCATCAGCATTACGGTGATCCTCTTGATGCATACTACAATCGTTCCTCTCCTGCTTGATCTTCTCATCCTCAACAGCCAACTCTACACCATGTTCTAATTCCCTCTCAAGTAGGTCGTCATCATCCATCACATGTACCTTCCTAGCAACATCACCTTTCAATTTTCTTCGCTTCTCCAAAGCTGCCTTTACCTTGTCCTTGTCAATTTTATTCATGGCATCCATCATGGAGGATGAGACACTGGGATCACCACTGTTACTGAGATTACCATCTCTCAATTCACTCGAACTAGCATGCGATGGAAGAGGTTTCTCTTCTGTTGGAATACCAGGTTTGTCGCTGGGCCTGGAACTTCTCGACAAGGACTTTGTGCCATCATGCAAACCATCCTTTGTACTAGTATCAACTCTACCTCCACTCTGACTGCTTGTTTTGTCGTTTTCATGGCCACCATTGTCACTCTGAAGACTTTTCTGGCTACCAATCTGCTTGTGTGGCTTTGAGTGCTCAGCACCATTGTGAATTGGAACACCTGTTGATGTAGAGGGATTGGAATCTGGCTGTTTGGATGCTGGATGATGCACAACACGAGGTTCCTCCGAGTTGGCTTCTGCTTTTACGGAGATCCTTTGATTAGGCACACCAGCTGAGCTCCCTTCAGCTTCATTCCCATTTGTTGGTTGCGACTGTACAACACGGTTTTGCTCATACAGCTCTAACATTTGATTGCTAACCTCTGCAATCAATGAATAAAAGAAATGCATTAGTATTAGACGTGAATTTATCACGCCATGCTACCAAAGCTCAACTACAAATTAACTGCTACTCCCTCTGTTCACAAATATAAGATGTTTTGGATATTTTAATACGGACTACATACGGACTGAAATGGGTGAACACACTAAAACGTGTCTATATACATCCGGTTCACAAAAAAGTTAGAACATGTTATATTTATGAACGGAGGGAGTAGAAGATGAATCAAAGCCATGAACAAGGACTACTATGGAGCACCACTGAAACAGACCAGGTTCTACAAGACCCAAGGATTTTCTGGAACCATCAAATCTTCAAGCAACTGACTGAAAATCATGCAATTTGTTTCCTGTTTGTAAACAGTCGGGTGCTCTTAGATTGAGAAGGCGGCCTTTTCTTAGCTATCTAGAGATGACTACAAAACATGTTATACAGTGTATTATCTTGTAATGTTGTCTCTAGTGGTTAATTTTTGCATGCATATAAAACAATGTAGTGATAAAATTAGAAAACATGTGTAAGAGATGGCATCCACTACAATGGAGAAAAATATCTTATCTCAAGCGCTAAGAGATCATCTCTTAGGGTTTTTTGAGAATGAAATCATCTCTTAGTTGAGACAAGGAAAAGGCTGAAATCACCCCATTGTGCATGCCCTTATAATCTTTATTATGGATATTCTATTTGGCAGGTACAGAGGAGATTAAAAGTGTCTTGCCAGATCTATAAACCACTGAACTGGCTTAACTAGTCCCATATGAAGCAATAGTCGCTAGAAAAAGTCAGAGCTGGAACGCATGATAGTATAGTAAATAATTCATAGAACTGTGTACAGCAACTACACCATATATAATTAGACTTCGGCTTTATACCGACCACTAGCATAATGATCGCGTTGCTACAGAACCAAAAACTGATTGCAGTTGTATTTGATCAGTAGCATACAACAACCAATGCACTTGTTACTTACATCATAAAAAGTACTCCCTCCTTCCCAAAATATAAGGCGCGCTTGACTTTGCACGGTCCTTGATGCATGACTTTGACCATTAATATATACCATAATACATGGATTGAACATGTATCAATAGTATCATCGTATTTGTCTTGCAAAACAATTCTATTTTATATGTCTTTATAATAATTTCGTAGGCATATATAATCAGTGAAAATCATAGTCAAAGCTGTGCGATGAAGACTAGAAAAGTCAACGCGCGCCTTATATTTTGAGGGAGTAATACACCATAATCATAAAAGGGTAATAACACCATAGTAGTCATAGTACATGTCATCGCTGGATTTTAAAATTTGAAAGTTAGGATGATGGGGATTACGGAGGAGGGGTGGCCGGAGGGCAGGGAATGGGGAGGAGGGGTGGCTGGGTAAAATATCATTGCCGGATTGACTGGCTGGTTGGTGTCACAGTAAAAGAAATTGTGTACTACCATGTACTAGTAATGATCAAATACTTTCCCATTCAAAACATGAGTGAGGTGGTGACTTGCTAGTTTGATTAAGCTGTGTATAGCAGCAAGTGAGGGGTTCGAGAGTCCACAATTGCATTAGTTGTTACTGTTTTGTTTATGATCATTGTTCACAAACCATAAGAGGACGATGGGGGTCGAGATTCGACGCATTACCTGTAATTTTTCTGTTGATGTATTTTTTACAAACTAAAGAGGGTCAAGTGGGGTTCAAGACTCCACAATTGCATTACTTGTAACTGTTTTTTTGCATAAACCATAGAGCGTCCGCTGGGGGTCAAGACTCAAAGCATTACTTGTAACTGTTTTATTGATGTATTTTTTTCAAACCAAAGAGGGTCCAGTGGGGTTCGAGAATCCACGATTGCATTACTTGTGACTGTTTGTTTATGATTATTATTTTTTACAAACCAAAGAGGATCCAACGGATCCTGCATGGGTGAGGAGGATTTGGATGGAGTGGGGGTGAACCGAGCACCACCACCACCAACTCAAATTTATAAGTAATATATATATATGACTGATTTTCTGCGCTCATGGGAGTATGTACTCCCGCATTAAATATACTTCTCTATCATTCTCAATATACCTTATTAATTATCTAAGATACCTCAATACAAGCTTCATAAAAAGAACATCATCAGAACCCTTAGTTTATAAATCTAACGATTTTACGTACAAAAAGGCAGTCTACGAGCAAATGATCTGGAACACATTGACTCAAATGGAATTTTTTTATTTAACTCACTTTGCGCTATCTGGTAATTATTAATAAAGCATATTAAAAGGATAAAGGGGTAGTATAATGGACTGATCTATGTGGTACATGAAGCGCAGGAGTACGCACACCCAGGAGTGCAGAATCATTTCCTTAGCTAGAATGAAGCAAGACACATCCAAATGGTTGTTTAACAGGAAAGTTTTGTACATATCCTTATTTTTAGCTACTCAACAAGAATAGTACCTGCAAAAAGATGAGTTTCACACTTTGAAGTATTTTCACAAATGTCCAAGTCATTGTACACTTACTTTAGTTCTTTCTTTGTATCCCGAAAACCCAGATGCCACAGGAACACATAAAAAGGCGAGTCCCGGTGGTAAAATATACTAAACCACAACAGTAGTCACTGTACAGCAAGGAAGCTAGAAATACAGAAGGAACAAACCAAACAAAGCAGAAGGAAATTTTGAATTACTGACTTTGCATAGAGGAACCAACCTTCCAGCTGTCTTGGTGTCACATCAAACTCCTGATACCAAGCCTTCTCACCGTCATCTGGAAGAAATTTCACTTTGAGAAACTTACCAGCCAAAAAGAGAGCACCTGCTGCAATATGATGGGGCTTGAATTGCAGACAGAGTGAAGTGCGCAGCCTGTACAGTATACACCCTTTTAAAGGAGGTCTAGTAGACATATAAACTGAATACTGGTATGGCTAAAAAGAACAAGGGTAGCATTAGCATACCCATCATTGACAAAATTCCAGGCAACCTGAGGAAGCGCATTATGAGTAATCTTGAATTTCTTTATTGTTTCAACCAAGGGCTTGTAAGGATGGTGCACATTAAGGTCAAAACCAAGTGTTGCAAGTACAACTCGCTCCCCAAGTAAAATGAGTTCTTTTTGTTGATCATATACTTCCTGCATAGGACAGTAGTAGACAGTTTGTTCAAGCATTATTCCCAGAGGAAATCACTTTGAAATAACTATGGACTGGTGCAGAGAAGATCTACATCGACAGAATATAAAGTGTACCAACACAATGGAACCTTCACAAATATGTGGCAGATACAGTGGTAACTACAATAGAAAAAGATCTGCATCGATAGGCGAAGTGTACCGATACAGTTGAATGGAACCTACGCAAGCATGCACCAGACCACAGAATGAACTACCAAAAGAATTATTATTATTATTATTTCAGTGCATTCACTCACCCAAGTTAACACAGCAGATGTTAATTTTTTGAACAAGCACAAACTGAAAATGGAAGCATGCAATGGCAACTATTTATGGCCATCCTCATTTTGTTTATTAACTTTTTCACAAGAAAAATCATCATCATCACCAGAAATAATTAGGAATCAACATTTGTAGCATGTAGACCTCAAAAGTCACAAAAACCAATGCAAAAATGGATCTCAGAGGCATGCATTACAAAACTGAGAAGTACACACACATCAATGATTATGATTCAATCGTAATAGGCAAAAAATACAGTATACAGCATCTACCAGAAAATACTTTGTTTGCACATCATAGAGCAAAATTATTTTATACTCGGTTTGCACCCAACCCATCATAGAGCGAAATTACTTGCTTACAGGAAAGGACATCTGTTATTTTTCCTTGTATCAGCTAAATTAGAGAATGGCAAGATCATACGAGGATATAAATCCTATGATTCAGCACTCCTCCAAAAACAAGAGAAGAACCAAACATTAGCCAGGTGCAGATTGTAAAATATATAGCTGGTAAACTTCAGCAGATGATGATGCAATCAAAACAATTCCAAAATAAATGATATACTGATGAGAAAAGGTTAGGATTCTGATAGAAATAGCCAGCCTTCTACTGGCTATATTTCTGAAGTTATTTTCTGTTATTGTATGAGAACAACAAGATTTATAGGGTGAAATCAGGTCATGCTACAACTTTTGTAAAGGGAAAAAGGTTCGCCAAAGAACAATCCATAGCAAAAGAAGCATCCAATTGGATCCATTACATTACCCTCTGCTTGATTTTCTGACCAGCAGCAGGATCCTTTTTATGAATAAGCTCGTAAGAAACCAGGATGACATCCTTCAAAGGCCTAGGTGTTTCTTCGACTTTTCCAGCCAAGAACATGCAAACAGTAGCGATTGTCTGTATAGATGTTAGATTCAGACTTCATTTGCCCATTCGCCATGAAAAAATAAGAATAACTGCATAACAAATAGTATAGAATACTAATATTCTGTCAAGACATATAGAGGAAAATCACACCATTACCACTTCTGCTGCAGATAAGAACACAAGAAATTACATGCACTCCTATTTCAGTAAACACGCTTGCTACTACTTCATGGATAGGGTGATTTCAAATGCTTTCACGTTCAATAATTTAAGAGTACCTGGGCCTAAATCAACTCTGCTGGGTGTTTGAGAGCTGTACCAGCCAAAATATTCATGATAAACCCTCAACCCCGCATAATTGATTAAATGGTGTGCCCACCTGTGAACTGCTATTTAGTAACAAGGTCTCAGGCTCTTCTAAACTAAAATCCCCACATCGCACCAAGAGGATGTACATCTGTGCATCTTATCCTCATAGAAAATACCTACTTTTTATAACCACCCCCTACAGTTCACAAAAGTAAGTTGTTTTGACATCTACAGAGTCTGCTGCTAGCTTCAGCGCCAACTTCTATTCGACTGGAGAAGTACAAAGTGTATTATTAGCTATTAATGCCTCTGTATGGAGAGAACAATCACCAAACTGGAAAACCATGGAGATAGAAACTATTTGTTATTTTTATTCAAACTAAACTATGACACAAAAAACAGAATATTATAAACTCAGATAAAGTATCTACATGTTATGAAGTTAGAAGCAGCACTTCATCAAATATTTAAAAATTGGACTATAGTTAGTCATTGACTAACACTTACTCGTCTATCATTTTTTGCATGAGATTGACGAAGGTAAAAACGGTGACAGAACACAATAGATGTAGCAATTGTCACTTGTGGCCTACATACAAAGAAAAAAAATTCAGCATAAGTTGAAAGTATAATTGCAGCAAAGAGTTGTGGCATTATCTCCACGTGTCATAAAAACCAAAGATACGAGCACAGCAATTTTTATCACGATTGCAAACTATTAAAGATGTGATGCGTACCATGGAAGCCTTCAAGGGCCAAAAGAAAAAATGCATACAAACATGCATTGCCCAAAACAATTCTAAAATGCCAGACCACCATCATACAGGGCATATTTTCAGTATATCTTAACATTTCATATGATATGATAATTTATCGTATTTATGGAGAAAAAAACCAACCAGCAGTTCATTCAGAAAAAATGTGCTTGCCATAAGAGTGCTCCATAAAGAAGTAAAATATTATCTTATCAGCCAAACAATTGAATATCTCTGGACCAAATATATGCTGGTGTAAAACAAAAACACATCAGGAGAAGCAATTACAATACAATGACAATATAAAGACACATTTTGAAATATTTATCATCTGGTTGGGTAAGTAGCAGAACTCAATGTTTTTGGATAAGTAAGGGACAGTCAGCCAACAGGCTACAGTATCAATAAATGCATAGAAGGACATAAAATATCTTACACTTTGAGCCGCATCCCCAAATCTTGTAGATAAGTGCAATACGATTTCCGAAGGTAAGTCTCTTTCTTTAAATCAATGCCATCCCTCTTGGACGGAGAATTCTCTTCTATTTCCTTTCTACTGAAATACCATGAAGCACTAAGTTTGCCAGCTTCCTTATTCCCGCTCTTTGTAATTCTGTAGGGGCTATTTTCTACAATTCCATGATGTGACAAATCACTTGGCAGCATAGCCATGTAAGCTCCCAACTACATTCAGCACACAATGACGAAGGTAGTCATGAGTTTTAGGACAGTTACTGAGAAAAAAGATACATGATAACATGATAGTGATAAGCATAGTCCTGTTGCCAAGCTAAATAGTAAAGATCAAATATAGCTGGCAGATAGCAGGGCCTGCTTGCAACAAATAAGTCAGCACGCCCAATAACTGAACTGTTGGTAAGAATTCGTCTAGTAGAACATGCCGTTACGAATGTATGCAGGGAAGAGATCTACTCGAATGTAATTCGATGGGCTAGGACAAGTGACATTCAGAAAATAAGCAGTTTAGAAGTTTCTGCAAGTCAAAATTACACAAGTATAAATAATCCACGCTGTTAACTTCCTAGGTGCAAATAGCATTAAAAGCAGAAATTGCTAAAAACAATTACTATATGAACAATATAGGTGTGATCAATCCCAATGTCTAGGATAACAATCATGCTGCTTTTTTTTAACGGCCAAACAGTAGGGGAAACCCCTGCGGTATTTTTTTTTAATCATGCTGATATCTACCAGCCAAGGGTATCCACTGGTTAATAAGGACAGCCCGGAATTAATTATTGACCTATAGTAAGTCTGTGAGCTGGTGAATCCCTGAATGACCTGTTGTTTACACACAAATAACTATTGCCCCTTGATTTTCCTGCTTCCTTTGTTCCAACCTGCCACTGGCTATCTGTGTGACTCCATTTTTTCTGGTCAAACACATTTGCAGAAACTGACATTCACATATTGTTCCAAACCCTGACCCTGTTTCGAGCTTAGAATCCTACAGGACACCAGAATCACTGACCAAGTGTTCGTGGACAGGTAGGCAATATTTGCAGAATTTACACCCCTGCCAATAACCATTGGACATCTGCTATTGTGGTATCAAAAGCCCGAAAGCCCAGCAAGTTGTTATTTTAGCCAAACCGAAGCATGCAGTAAGTGAAACAGATCTAAAACCCTCCAAACCGTAATCTGAACCTATTATATCCAGCAAAACAATCCTATATATACACACACACACACACACACACACACACACATATATATATAGGAAAATAGGTTAGTACTCCTAGGAGTACATACTCCTACGCGCGTGTCACACGCTCGCTCATTCCCTCGTGCTATCTAATTCGCTTTATTTAGAGGGAAAAAATACATGCAAAATCTCAACCGAAATCGTGGTCATTACTCCGATTTTTCTGGCTTCTCTTTATAGTTGCCGTCAGACCACCTTATCCATTTGACCGCTTATCCATCTCTCCTCCTGTTTCATTGGCATCCAACTGCGGCGGCGGCTCACATGGATGGACGGCTACGGCAGCGGCCAAGAACAGTTTGATCGGGAGGTCCATCTTCTCACCGCCAATTGTGATGACGTGACTGACCAGGTTGCTTTTCGGCACGGTGGCCATGGGTGAAATAAGATCGAAGGTGCACTCCAGCGGCGCCTTGTTCTTTTTCCCGTTGATGTGAATCCTGCTCCAAGTTCTCCAACCGCAGTTAGCTGCTTTTGAAGTCCACCAATCATATGCCAGGTACCTGATCAATTTGTCTCACTACCATATACATACATAATTCCTCACGGCAACAATTCTCGTAGAGCTTCATTAACTCCGACAGATATTCTTCTTATTCCTTCGTTCAGGTTATGCCAAGAACCACCACAGATCTGATAAGTGGCACGACAGGGTTGTATCTCCTCGTACATTTGGCAACTCATTCTCGTCTAATTTTCATAGGGTCAATCAAACAGGAGGATGCCTTCTATGCCCATATGCCACATGCAAATAGTCCCAAATTTAGATTTGGGGATTTTTCTTCTGTTCATGGTTTGTATGAATTTATTTAATTCCAAATTCTGGTAAACAATTAGGGATGCCATCCGATTGTTTTTAGGTGCACTTCAATGAATTAATGCCATCCGATCTAATTTGTAAATGCAGGGTGTATGTCTTTGGATACATTACGCCGCCGCCGACGGCCATGTGCGGCAGAGCGGCCATGGTGAAGTTTGATGCATGCACGACGAGTGATCTCATGTTTCTTATTGATGATGACGTATATGTTCCGTGCAAAAAAATTGATGATGTATATGTACTCCTGATGCATATGAACTGATTTTTTTTATAAAGTTACCTTTTATTTCAGATGAATATACTAATTAATTGTTCTGCGAATGGATGAATGCATATATGTACTCCTTTTGATGTAGTATATATACTGCTTTGGTGAAATCTTCAGAAAGAAACTGCAGCACACTATTCCAAAAACAATGCAGTATATACTTCTTAAACAAATGGCAGTATATACCCTTCTGAGTATTTTGCTGGTATATACTCCTTCAAAAAAATGGCATTATATACTCCTTCAAAAATGGCAGTACATACTCCTTAAATTTTGTGAGTATATACTCCTTCAAAAAGTTCAGCATAAACTACTTAAAAAGGCAGTACAGACCTCTTTATAAATAAAATGTAGTATATGTCTTGCATGTGCGTTGGGCACCTATGAGGTATGTACTGCTAGCATGATGTAGATGAAAAAGGCCTATATTTTACACGCTTCGTTCCCAATCTGAAGAGGTACAAAGGGTATATAGTAACAAAACCAAATGAAAGGTATATACCGTTTGCGTTCAAAGTGCATCTCACTTCCGTAACAAAACCAGCATTTCCATTGGATAACATGCACCGGTTACCTACAATCTTGGAGGTTGTTTGCGCATGCAACATAATTTACTAATATTTTAATTAATTAATCCATTGATTGGGCCAATTAATAGGGTGGGAGTACATACTCCTGGGAGTATAAAAGAGGAGTCCATATATATATATATCCAACAAAACAATGACCCAGACCTAAGAGATCTCGCAAAACCGAAGTCGGGACCATTAGACGCGCAAGATCGCAATTTGAACCCATACATCACACCTAAAATCAAAGTATTCCGTCTCATCGCGGTATCAACCAACAGCATCAAACGACCACGCCCTAGGGTTCCGAAATTCCAACCTCCCATCGATCTTTCACCTCCTCAGTTAGCAAATCAGAACAATACTTCGGGCAATGCAAGACCCAAGAAATGAAGGACTGGTCTAGGGAGAAGAAACATGGATTGGCGATAAATGAATGGATTGACCTCGTATGCCTTGACGCAGCTGCGGGCTAGGACGAAGCCAGCGAAGCGGGAGCGGCTCACAGGGTGGATGCTGCCGGGGCGCCGGGGCCTCCGGGAGCTACTGCCAGGCTCGACGGAATGTTCGCCCCCGCTGCGTGCGGCCGCCGCTGAGGAGGCGTCGGGGGGATAAAACCAGAGTAACAGAACCCCTATACCAGTGCGGTTTTCTTTCTCCAGAATTTGTATCTCCCTTCTCTGCAAATTTAAGCAAACTATATACGAGAAATGTTATTTGATGTTTGTCAGATTTTTAAGACTTCCCGACGAACATATTCATCGCCGTCAGATTATAATTCACACATCTTAAAGCAAAGTGAGAAACACGTGAGAAAAAAAATCATTCATAAGTCGTCGCGAACGCCCAGCAGACCGCATTTATTTTTCCTCTTTGCTTTTTCTCTCACTAGCGCCCCATTCCCTAACTCGGTTAGGTGTGCTTCAATTTCGGCGATGAGGCGTGCGACGACGGAGACGAGGTGGGCGGCGCCACCGATGATGTAGAGGGGGGCGACGGCGAAGATGAGGCAGGTGGCGCCACCGACTAGATATAGGCCGCCGACGAAGACAAAGATAGAGGCATGTTGCGAGGCGGTAGGCCGGCGCCACTGACAAGGCGTGTTGTGCCGGTGGCGCCCCTGTCGAGGTGTGGAAGGAGGTGTGCGACGCCACCATTGCCTCCATCGAGGTCCTTGGCGAGCGGCCCTCGCTGGATCCGTCGGGGAGAGGCGGAGGAGGGGAGCGGTGGCTACCCCTGCCACATTCAGCGGCATGCAAAGGAGGAGGCGGGGGTGGTGGCGACACCGTACGACCCGGTAGGAATGTCGGAGAAGCCATACATGACGATATCGAAGACAACCGAGTGTGGTCGCGTCGCCATCAGGACCTAGTCGTGCGTGTGCAACGCCACCTCGGGACCACATGGCGAGGATACGACGAGGGTCTGCATGGCGCCCAGGCGAAGGACCATCACGTCGGGGTGTGCTTCTTGGCGAGGCCGTGGAGGGAGACATGCGGAAGGGCGCCGACAAGTTGCAGGTGCCCGATGATGGGCAGCGCTTGCGGCGAAGTAGGGAGGCACTGCCCTATTGTTCTAGTATTTCCGGTGAACTAGTGATGCATAGACAAGAGGAGAGGGGGAGCAAGAACAAAAACCATGCTCGCACAAACGTTCTAGCATGAGCTTTTGCACGAGAACCGCCATGTCGAGCTTGGTTAGTCTATCAAGTTAGCATCACAAGCTCGGTGGCTTATAAGCAGCCACACATGGTAGAAGTCAACAAAAATATACATACATATATACGGTGCACTAGACTTGGAGCAATAATTGTGTTTGTGTGTCCAATACTAGGTCTAGCATTTCAGATGGATAAGCGGTTGATACTCAGTTAGTATGCACAATCTAGCACTAGTAGTGTCGTCCTAAGAGACCATGATGTTTTTTTAGAATGAAAGACCACGATGTTGATGCGTAGGAAGTTTTGATTTATGTTCTATGACATTTGCTAATAAATTTTAAACTAATTGACAACAGAAGGGATTCTAGTATGTTCACACTTAGATAACTACACATGAAGATGCCATGGCAAAATTTGTTGAAAACATTGCGTTTTTATTTTATATAGCATGGCAATTTTATATTATTTAGCATGGCAAAATTAAAGTGAAAATGTTCTAAAACCATGGCAAACTTATGAATATGAATCTGCCATGTCATGATGGAAAACTAGTTGCATAGCATTTCCCATCTAATTATTTTGATAATCTAGAAAAACATATGAATGTGAATCTGCCATGTCATGACAAG